CTTTTGGAAAGACATCTGAGAATTGTTGAATTATTTTATGTGCTTCTGGTATTAATATCTTTTCTTTGTCTTCAACATTGAATAAATATATAGCAAATAATTCAGCATTATTTGAATAATTGGATAATTGTTAACGAGAAATATAAATGAAATTACAACTAGGTGAATTTGAATTAATGTCTGCTGTGATTTTAATAGATTTATTGTCATAGTTAAAAGTCAAGATATTATTTCTCCAATTGATAGTTGAATTAGCATGAAAGAGCCATGGTTTTTCAAGTATCAAATCATAGCATTGTAAATTAAGAACTTGAGCATTGATTCCAGAGATTTTGTAAGCATTTAATTTCAAGTTTTGAATATTGACTGTAATTGTAGTTGTAATTTTCTTGCCATCAGCCAATTCTACTGTGATTGATTATATCTTCTCAGCTTTGATGTAATTCTTTTGAACAAATTTTTTATCAATAAAATTTCTTGATGCATCACTATCTAGTAAAATTCAAGTATCTTTTCCATTGACTTGTTCATTAAATTTCAATAGTTTTTCTTTGTTATCAGCAATGTAAGTGAATTCTACTCTTTCATTTTGTTGTTTGATAGAAGATTTTGCAATCTCTTCAATATTATTCATTCTTACCTTGTCTTTTGAATAGCAATTTTTAGCAAAGTGATCTGGTTTGCCACATTTATAACAATTATCTTTGACTTTATTATTGTTGGAATTATTAGAAATAAAATTTTTCTTGAATTACTTAGCATGATTCAATTTCATGGGTGTACTTGTAAAACTATTTGGTGTGTTATGACTGAATTGTGGAGTTCTTTTGAATGATACTTTGTGAAAGAAATTGTTGTTAAGTGATTTGCCAGTATCAAATATAGCTATATCATATTTAATAGCTAATTTTCATGTGTTTTCCAAATTTTCTGGTGCTTGATAGCTTACTTGCATTTTTTGTTGCTGGTTTCAATTCATCAATAAAATAAATAACTTGGTCTAGGTCACTCATATCTGCAATTTGTCCAACAAGATTTCTAAACTTGGTACCATATTCTTGAACTGTACCAGTTTGATGAAGTTGTTTAAGTTATCTTCTTAAATATTGTTGATAATTTGGTGATTGGAAAGTATTGCATAATTCTTGAGTAAAAATATCAAAGTCAACAAAAGTGGAATTGGTATTATTAATATTTGCCTTCAATTTGTTGAGGTATCAGTGAAAGATTGCATCTTTAAGTCCAGTTGATATATAATTTATTTTTGCTTTATCATTGATGACATTTTGAGCAGCAAAGATACTTTCAATTCTCAATAATTAAACTAAAACATTCTCATTTGGTTCACCTTTGTAAATTGGAATTTTAACTGGAATTTTTGGATTGTTGTTTTCATTATTATTATTTATGATAGGTGCTTAATCACTATCACTACCAGTAACATTTTCATCTTGTTATTGTTGTAACTGTTGGAGTTGTTGGTTTTGTATTTTTAATTGATTTTGATAAGACTGAATAGCGTCAATAAGATTTTATTATTATTTAAGCAAGAAAACAAATTCATTCATGAATTGTTGAAATTGTTGTAAATTCATTGTAATATATATGTTGGTGAGTGTAGAGTGTGTGTGTTTAAAGTGTGTGTATAAAGTGTATTTGTAAAGTGTGTATATTATAGCTTTAATAACCTTTATCTGCTGCTATCAAGTTGTAAGAATACTTTCTTATGTGAAAAGTAATAAGATAAATTTATTAATTGTTATAAATAAATTATATCAATTGAGATAGTTTTTAGTTTTAATTTTAATAAAGCTTATTTCTTTATTTATTAAATAATGAAAAATCTAAAGAGCTATAGTACAGAACAGAGATATTTAAATACATAATTAATGTTAAACAAATTACAAATAAATTAATAATAAAATAGAGGGTGATTGATTCTAAATTATTAATCTTAAAGGTGACGCATCTTCAAGTTATACTATATTTAATGAAATATCTATAAAATATAAAAATAATAAAAGATAATTAACACAAATTAAAAATAATAAAAGAATAAAAAGAAAAGTAATTATAAACAATATGTATCTAAATTAATAATATAATCTACATTTACATCTAATCTATTTGATGAAATATTACAAAGTATTAAATATAGATCTGTGTTAATTTTTAACATGTTATACAAAAATGATAAATATAATACAAAAAATGATAGATATGATACAAGAAATTACAAGAATATATGAAAATTGTTACAAACTATTATTATGAGAATAGATTTATTTATTATTTCTAGATGGGTAAGCTGATCTTTTTAGGTATTTCAAGAGTTTCTAATCTATTGATTAAATTCTAAAGTAGTATTATAAGTTAATTGAAATTAGCAATTAATCTGATTTTTATCTGATAATAGTTTGGAGCAGATTCTTTAGAATTTGTTTCTTTCACAGTTTTAACTATATTGATAATATTTGGTAAAATTTTATTAGAATTCATTTTTATCCCTTTGCAAATCTCAGATTTTAAGTCTCTTTTATATGTTCAGATTTTGTAATCTTCTGGATAGATATTAATTGGATCTACTTTCTTTAGAAAAGCATTAAATTAGTTGGTATACTTTCAGTTTGTTGAAGTATTTTAAGTTCATTTTGCTATTATTCAACCTTATGTGGAGTATGAAATTTTAAGACAAAGCAATATTTAAAGTCATATTTATTATTTTTAATATTTGTTCAACTAGTTAGAGTAAGAGCATTATTAATAACTCTTTGATCAAATCAAGTAGTAGCTACACCTTTCAAGTATTTATGAACAATTTGAATTTTTCATATATTAATTACTTCATTGACTATAGCAATAACTTCAAAATTCTAGAGCTATTCAACTAAATCTTAATTATTATCTTTGAATTTTTGAATTGATATGTGATTTTTTTCTGTTCTTAGTCCAATAGTAAGAGTAGCAATGAGAGTATTTAGTCTATTGAAAATATTATTTAAATTGATTATTACTTCATTATCTGATTTTTCAGTTACTTTTTCTGATTCAAAATCTAGTTCTTCTTTTGATAGTAATTCTTGATCTGAGATATCAGATTTTTTTCAGTATCAGTTTGTATAATTAATTGTTTCTGAAAGTTAATATTTTATTATTCTTCTATTAATTCTTCTTTTTTAATAATTATTAATTGGTCTTCTATTATTTTGATATTACTAGTTATCTCAGAATAGTAACTATTAGATATATTTGAATCTTCTTTAAATTCTAGATTGTGAAAGTCTTCAAGTATTTTTTTGATTAATAGTAATTAGTGATAAAATATGTATTTGTTCTGATAAATTAGAGTATTTAATAATTGAATTACTTATTTTTATAATTTTTCAGTTCAAATAGTACTAAAATTTGCTTTGTAAATATTTTTAAATAGTTATTCAGTAATAAAAGATCTAAATATTATATCTTATTATTGAATTCAGATAAAAAAATTAGCTAAAGGTTTAGTTATTATATCAGAAAGTGAAAAATAAATACAATAGTAATATTATTGAATTATTTAAAGTATTGTATCTTAACATTGAGCTTCAAGATGAATATTAAGATATAAGCTAATAGATTTTTTAATAAAGGTATAATAATTATTCATAAAGAGAATTTGAATATTGAAGAGAAATTTTTTACTAATTAAATAATTAGCTAATAAATATGAACAAGTATTGAGAGAGATAATTAGATAAATATAAGAATAATATAAAAACAATATCTAAGTTCTATACCAATTTTTACTGAAATTATTATAATTTAGAAAGGAATAAAAGATAAAATATTAAGATTTTAATTAGATATAATATTCTAATTAACTGTACTAACTATTTAATTTATAAATTATTTAATTAAAGTGATAAATAAATTAATTAATTAACAAAAATAACAAAAATAATAAAAATTCTTTTATTTCATTATTCTTACAAGAAAAAGATTATAATATCTTTAATTAAGAGATTTTAATTAATTCAATTATAACAAAAATATTAAAAGAATAGTTTATAACAAAATATCAATTCAATAATTTAATAATTCAATATCAATATTTTGATTAGTTCAATATAATTTCAAAGCTACTTGTTTATAAGGTTTGAAGTATATAGTAAGTGAATTATTCAAGTGTTAAAAAATATTTGTTTTATTATATTATTTATTCTCAAGTTTTGATATATTAAGTTAAAGTTTAACTATAATTCATATTTATATATTTTTTATGAAATACAAATATAATATTAAAAACAAGAAAGAAATACAAAAGATAATTATACTAATTAAAAATAGAATTTCAATTTACTAAATATGAAAAATAAAAAAAAAGAAGAAAAAGTATAAATCTCAAAGAATTTTGATTGGTTAAGTTATATCTACTCAGAATAAATAAGTATAAAAGTATAAAAAGTATAAAAAATATAAAAAGTATAAATGTATAAATATATAAAAAGTATAAAGTACAAGTATAAAAGTATAAATATATAAAAAATATAAAAAGTATAAAAGTATAAGAATACAAAGTAGAAAAATAAAAATATATGAATATAATAAATAATAATATATAATATAATTGTAAAATATTCTAAGTTCTTTACATGATTTTGTAATTTCATAAAATATTACAAATTATAAAATTAACAATTTTCATAATATAATTATAATTATAGTATAGGAATATATAATCTATAATATAAAAATTAAAATAAAAATAATATATTTATTCTTTTATTGCTTTTAAAAAAATTTTTGAAATTAATAATAATAACTAATTACTTTACTTAAATTTTTATTTTGAAAATAATAAAAATTTTTTTATAATTATTAACTTAATTATTTTTTATTTATATTTAATATTTTTATCAATAAGTTTATATTCAATTTTATTATTATTAATATAAATATAATCTAATAAAATAATTTTTTGCTAATAAATAATTAATTAATTTTTTAAGTTTTTGTTTATATTACTGAAATAAAGTTATTTTTTTAAAATTAAATTCTAAATATTTTAATTTAAAAATTTAATAAGCTTTTTAATTTGTTTGTAAAAAAATATAACAATTTCTAATTATTTGTAATAATATTATAAATTATACTTTAAATATAATATTTATTTATAATAAAAGTATTTTTATATTAATATAATTATTTTTTAATATAAAAAATATATTTAAATATATGATAAAAACTTTATTATATTGAATAAATTTATTTAGAATAATTTAAGCTTAATTTAATATATTAAATTTTAATTAAAAAATAATAATTTTATTAATTTAGCAAAATTTTAAAAATTTTTAAATAAATAAAAATTGTAAAAATTCTAAAAATAATATATAAATATAATTTAAAATATAATTTAATATAATAATTTATTATAAATTATTATATATATAAAAGTTTTAATAGTTAAATCTAGTAAAGTTAAAATTTTCATATATACTCCTATACTAGATTACCAAAAATTAAAAAAAATATAGTAAAATTAACATTGTTTCTTTATATTAAAATTTATTATTTTAATATAAAGAAACAATATCAATTTTACTATTTTTTTTAATTTCTGGTAATATAATATAAGAGTATGTATTTTTGTTTTCATATTAAAATAAAACTAAAAATCTATATTTCAATATATAGTGAGAATTATAAATAATATAATAATATCAAAATTTATTAATTAAATATAGTAAAATATGAGTTTTTCTTTTTATATAAAAGTTTTCAATTTTTGATTAATATTTTTATTTTTATATTAAAATAAAGTTAATATCACAAATTATTTTAATACATATTTTTTTCAGATTTTTTAGATTTAATCAAATAAAGCTATTCTAATTGCATATAAAGTTAATTATTTTTTTTATAATTAAAACATGTAATATTATTTTCATTTTAATATAATAATAAAAAATATTTATTAGTAAATTGAAAAATTTTATATACAGAGAAAAATCTATATTTTACTATATTTAATTAATAAATTTTGATGTTGTTATATTATTTCTAATTGTTATTATATGTTAAAATATAAAATATAATTTTATATCGAGGTTTGACTGTACTTTAGAAAAAGATCAGAATTTTTAATTTTTTTCCTGATCTTTTTTTATTAATATTTTCAGAGTATAATATTGCTAAATTATAATGCTATTTTTATAATAGAAAATGAACTTACAATATTTTGAGTTCTAATTATAATTAATGTATTATTATTATAAGAATATTAATATAATAAAATAATAAAAGTAATTCTTGAAAATATAATTTGAAATGTTTTGAAAAAAGAAAAATTAGGGTTTCTTTAATAATAACCAATTCTAGAATTGCTAATTCTTATTAAGAATTTCACATCAAATAATTGCAAACTTTATATAATAAGCTACTAGCTATTATAATAACGATAAGCTTTTTAATTCAAGCTACATAAAAAGTCTGGCTCGCGAGGAACTTTACACTTATCTTGCAAGAAAATTTCTCATAACTGACATGTTATAATTATAAAATACAAAAGATTTTATAAGCATTTAGCTGCTAACGTTATGATATAATCATTATGTTTAAAAAATTAATTATTATTATACTCGACTATGTTCTGGGTTGATTTAGAATCGTGTTGATTCCAAATCAAGCTTAAAATCATCCAAGAATTGAAAATTTTTTCATTTGATAGAAAATTTTCGGTATATAGCAATATTATAAGATAAACACCAGAGTTATGAAAAGAAAAAAGATGATTGCAAATATCTATACTTCATTGAAAATTTCATAAAGGACGTAAGACGCTTCAAGTGAAGGAATTAACAAACATTTAATCGCCCTATGAATATCTTTTACGGTACCCAATCCATCTTTATGACAAACAGCCAATCCATCCCTTCCGACTTCCTTACCATCTCCAAATAAAATTCGATACCAATAAAACGCTCGTCGATAATCACCACTTGCAAAATAAGTTTCGGCAAGAAATTCACTCGATTCGTTGAATCCAGCATACGCTGATTTTTCAAGCCAAAATACACCTTGGTCTTCATCATATCGATTCATATAAATCAATGCTAATTCGTATTGCGCGAGTTCCATATCTTTTGCGGCTGCTTTTTTATACCAGAACTCGGCCTGAACCTTGTTATGTCTGGTTCCAATACTTTTGTGCAAACAATAACCTGTCTCTTGCATGCCGATTGGATCGCCGAGTTCTGCAGATTTAAAATAACATTCAAAAGCTTTTGTGGCATTAATAGAGGTCCCAATCCCATAACCATGTAGAAAAGCGAGTACGAGCAAGTATTTTTCACGGTCCTCGTGTTCATTGACGAGTTGGAATAGGGTTTCAGGATCGCAGTTGTGGTCCGCCAGAAAGCCAGGTAAAAGCAAGCGGCACAAGTCGTCGAGACACCTGTGTTTTTTGGCATTAACTATAATCATTAAAGTTTGATTAACTATCCATGTTTCATCCATTTCGTCAGAATCTATTTGTGTATGCGAGTTGTTGATTTCTTCTGGCTCAGAATCTGATGTGTGAGATTCGTTGATTTTTTCCATTTTTTTCCTTAACTTTATCACCTGTTAATATTAGAGAAAATTGCCAATAAATTGAAATTAAGATATTGTTTGTATCGAAGAAACTTAATAACCCTGAAGAAAGAATAAAAAACGAAAAATTCTGCCTCAAATTATTTTTACCTTTCGGGTATACAGTAAGTAATCTATCAATTCGCTTATCGTTATCATTATCATCACTGATAATATGTGGCTTTTGTGATAAGATGCAGGTTTTGATTCTCGAAGATCATAAACATAACGATAAATTTATCAAGACCATTATTAATTAACGTTGTCTATTTGTAAGAAAAAAAGGGTTAATAGAATATACTTTGAAACCCATCGGATTACAAACCGTCACTTTCTCTTTTCCACAACATCATCAAGCAATTTTTGTACATGTACCAATAAAACGAAACCATTTTACTAGAGCTTTTATTCGTGAATCTAAAATTAACCGGAATTGCGTGATAGATATTTCTGCCTCAGTGCTTCTTCTGATTCTTTCGTCGATAGCATAAGGATGACCGAGTGCTTGCATTCTCAGCGAATCATTATTTTGTGGCTTTATTTTCCAACTCTATGCCGTAAAAATATAAAGAGTCTAGTATTGCTGGTGTCTTGGTGATTGTTGTTGGTTAGTTTATCGAGAATTTGATCCATTGTTTCTGATTCGATACGTTGTTACTAGAGCTGTTAAAATGCTCACCGGACTTGGTCCTTGAGTCGACTCGTCCTGGACATTTTAGGACCGACTCATAGCTTTTTTTGGACAGAGTCCAAATGATCACATGATGAAATCCTTATATAACGCATATCATGTCATTTATCATAATTAATATCGGTTAAGCAGCTGAAACGGCATGATTAAAATTTTTAATTACGTAAATTAAGAGTTAATCATTGCATGTAAACGTTAAATAAACTATTAATTAATCGCCCAATTTTTGTTAAACTTATAATCATCGCTCGCATCCATTAAAGAGTTATGTACTATATAAAGACAGCTCACTCTTTTCGATAATATGCATGAGCTCAACTTTGGGACCGAGTCCTAATCAAAGTCCTGACTTTTGGAGTCGGGACGGACAAGATCGGACTTTTAACATCCCTAGTTGTTACTTTGTTTACTTTGTTCTATTAGAATTTTTTAAGGTTGGTCAATCTCAAAGTTATATAATTAGAATTTTTGAATATTTTTATTGTAAAAAATGCATTGCTTTTTAAAAGGACACGAAAAAAATATCAGAATAAAGACTATATAGCAAGAAATATCTAATTATTTGTTGAATATCCTCCGCTAATTTATCAATAGTTTTGTCTTATCGTCTCACTCAGACATCTTAAGAACGCCCGTTGATAATCCTCTTTCTGATCAATTCGTTATAATTGACTGGTATCCAATTCTCAAGCAAAAAGAAAGCGCTGTCGAGTCAATAATTTATTGATACTGTACTTCATAACAAAGGCTTTTAATCCTATACCAAGATCACAGAAATGAACGATCTCTAGGAATTCTATGTCATTGTTTTTAGCAGTTTAGAAATCCATTTTAACGTAAATGCTTTTTGTCAATAACCATAATTCCATATTTTCGATTTGTTCAGTTGTTTGCTTATCTGAGATTTTACATGTGCGACAAGTGTTGCGACGGTTGCCAATGTTTCAACCGTTTGCAGATTGTAACATTACGATTGGTAGAATATCATAATATATTTAATACTTTTGTTATCAGATTGGTTTTTATATACACATGTACATGTATTGACTAATAATTATGTTACCAGTGACTCTCGTTATAGTAAAGTCATCCGTACCAACCATTAGTAAAAAATCTTCAAAAATTTACTATATCGAGAGTTTATTAGTAAATTTACGAGAGAATTTATTATGAACTGGTTTTGGACGAACTTTACTAATTAATCTTTACTATAACGAGAGTCACTTGTAATTGATATTCTCCAAAATTCACAAATAAAAATATCGATATACTTGAATGAAGCGAAGATTACTACGCATTATTTATTCGGCTGTGAAAATAGTTGCAGCAGCTGTAATAATTGCGTCGGTTCATTTGTAACAGTCGCGACTTTGGCTTAAGTGTTGTAATATACCGATGCGGCATACGAACTCTAGGCTGATGTCCGTTTCAAAAAATGACACTTCTAACATAATCGTTTGCTTTATACAGTGCTCGCCATATATAATGTAGAATGCTGTTTTCCTTTATTGCGTGTAATAAAAAAAAGCAAAAATATATATTTGCAGATATACAGTTTCATATATCTTATTGTAATTACTTCCAAACACTATAAATGACTAAGTCAATTAATCTATATACTTTGATATATTACGAACAAGTTTTTTTAAGGCAACTTAGTAGCTTAAAGTATTAAAAAAAGCCAAAAAAGAAAATTTTTTAATTAAACATATAGCATTATATCAAAATTAAAATCAATTATTTGAGAACAATAGAAATAAGATATGTTATTAAGTACGTAGTCTTAAGAAAACTTGTTTGCAATATATTAAATTATATACATGTACATGTATCTGTAATTTATATATATTTTTTTCATGCAGTTTTCATATATAATGCAAAAATTGTATCAAAATTTCTTGAATCTATGTAACAGAGCATAAGTTAGGGATCTACCAGTCATTCATTCATTCATTCATTCATTCCCCCTTTTATTATACTTATCAATAACGATAACGATAAGTACATGTACATGTACAAAGAACACAGAAAATAGAAAAACCTGATGATTCGCACACACACAATCAATTACATGTACATTGATCATAGAAAAACGGTACTTGGAAACGAAGACTGTGTCATGTATGTGTAATCATGTCTATTAATAACACCACGCAACGCCTGTCCTTGGCGTCGTGTTTCTACTACTGATACTATTAAAAGCTAGTGCATTATTATGATGTATGTGTGCATGCCATGCCATGTAGGCAAACTTTTTCAGAATAGAAAATTCTCTGGAAAAAACACTGGCCTTTCTTTTTTAAGATTTAAATATTTTTGATTTTAACGTTAACGTTAAGTGCAAATGAAAGAATCAATTTTCTGAGTGAATTATTGCAAAACAGGGTACAAATGCAAAATTAGTATACTTGTATTAATTTTCTGTCATTCATTCACAATATTATTGTTACTTGAATTGTGGTTTGTTTCAATCGTATTATTATTGTTTTGATAATAACGAACATCCATGATTCATCAACACTATCAATAAATAGAAGACGTTCACTTCCAGTATATACAATATATACGGAAATATCTGGGGTTTTTGGGGTCTGACAATTGACGATCTACACCCTAATAGTTTAGACATCTAACCTACCTGCATACACATATTTGGCAGAGACCGGTCGTCGTCGTCGTTTATCGACTCTTTTGTATATGCTAGCTATAGTATATACGTGAGTGGTAAAAATTTTGAAAAAAAATAATATTATTTGTACATTAAATAAAATAACAAAAACAATAAATTTTTCACAGAAAATGATTCAAACAAATACAACTGGCACGAAAGTTCCCCATTTCAAAAACTTTTTTGGTAATGTTACTTTAGCACTATTATTTATTCTTTCTTCGATGTCTTGTTTATCATTATTTATATTCTTTATTCTTTTATTAATCAGCGATACTCGCATTTACAGATTTGAAACTACCGAATAGCATCCGGAAAGCAAAATCCAGTTCTGCAGTTGGACCAAATTATATAAATAGTCCGAAAACAGAGAAACCGCCAATGTTGACATTACCACCAGAATATTTATTGTCACCGGATTTCCCATCGCCAGATAAAGTTCAGAATAACGGTCTAGCAGTTCCAGCGAGTCCGGGAGACAGTAGTTCGCTGGTCTCCCGGGGTTCATTTTCAAGTATCAATAGTCTAGCGACGACATCAACAGGAGTCGCCGCATCCGAAGTAACATTCACGCTGTTCCTACCGTTGATACGAGAACTAAAACAAAAGGTCGAGAAAATAACACGCAGATGCCAACTTGCAGAACATTATCGTCGCATTTGTAGTGCATTATTAGATCGAGCGTTAATAGCTGACGATGCAATACGAGATTTCGAGAGTCGACAACATGAAGACGAATTTTGGAAATCAAGGTTTAATTTTTTGTGTATTAAAAGACTTGCCGAGGCTGTCGATCAAATTGAGGATTTCATACGGAATGTGTCACAACTTCGACGATATCGAAGGTTTATTAAAAAGAACAATGTACAATTTACGTTTCAGCATTTAGCAGCTGAAATTGATGCTACGCTAAGAGATTTGAATATTATTTCGTCGGATGCTGACCAATTTCAGCATGGACAAGATATAAAGGTCGTGGAAGATGATTCGAATGATATGTCAAGGGTAATTTATTTTCATTATTGTCTCATTGAAATGAAATCGATTTTTTAATTCGTTATTTCTTTTGATAGTTTCTACAAGAAATTCGTGGTGGTATTACTGATCCATTTGGACAAGTATCACGTGAAATAGAAGACATATATACACTAAATGCAACATATCGTATACGCAAACCAGTAGTACCTGCACTAACAGCATCCGCAATGATAGATGTTTCAACGGTGGACAGATTAACACCACCAGTGCAGCCAAGCATGAATGTCGAAAAGGCAACCTGGAATAATATGAATGTAGCATTGACAAAGATCAAACGACAATTCAAAGATGAAGACGTAAATGGTAAAAACAAAATACGAAACAACGTAGCGATCCTAAAAAGAATCGAAAACTCCATGAACATAATCACATTCCACGGCGTGATCGAAGAATGGGACGAGACGAAACGAATGAAATCCCTATTCGTAGTAACCGAATGGGCCGAATTCGGAAATCTACGAGAATATTACAAGAATTTCGGCCCGTTGTCGTGGACGAGGAAATTGTCGATAGCTGTTGATGTGGCACGAGGACTGAATTTCCTGCGAGCTGTTGATATTCTGCATTATGAATTGACGACAGATGCTATTTTGATAACGGCGGATCATCGTGCAAAGATTTCGGGATGCGGTTTGAACTTTTTCTCGTCGGAAAATGGACGGGCTAACAGTACGGATCGAATAAGTGATATGGTTGACAAGTACCGGTATTTAGCGCCAGAGAAATTGAAGTCGGACTTTGCGTATGATGTTAAATGTGAAATTTATAGGTACATTTGTTTTTTATTTTTTTTTGAATCATTAAGAATATATATTAAAAAAAGTATTTATTACTGGATATTAGTTTTGGAATGTTACTATTGGAGATTGCAGAAGAAAATCTACCATTGCACGGACACAATTATAAAACAGTAATTGAAGCATTACGAGAAAACACATACAGGCCACAAGAACTATTTACACGAACAAAAATGGCACCCAAAGAATATCGAGAACTTGTACTTTTAGGTGAATATTTCAATTTCATGTATTTAAAATCATTTCTTTATATATCGATATTGATTGAAAATAAATGATCAGCAATAAGCCATGAACGAAGTCGTCGCCCCCCATTCTCTGAAATGTTCCTTTCCCTAAATGCAATGCTGAGACGATGCAGAGCTGCAGAAGCAATAATAGACTATGAATCATTAGTCCCCACGCCGACTTTAACAACTACGTCTACATCAGTAACTTCGTCACCGTCTGATTGTGGTTTTGAGGGCGAAATCTTGATTGGGCTTTCGGATGAATTACGGAATGGGTTGGCGCCTTTCGAAGCAATCGAAGATGAATTTTTGATTTGAGTGTTTGAATTTCTGTTACACACTTTCTTTGTAGATTTGCTTGGCTCTTTCGCTTTTGTATATACTACCTTGGCTGATTTGTTGGTTTTGTTTGTTTGTCACGCTGATGTTAGTATATACACACGTTATTTATCAGTTCGTGAGAATACTCGACTTTAATTATGCATGTAAATTATTAAATATATCGATATTAAAAGGTCATCATCATAATTGATCACAAACAAAAATGCGTGAATAAGCACGAGCAAATACACGTAGATGCACGTTCGAACATTCTGTCTAACACGACATTCACATGCAGTCTACAAAATGCGCAGTTACGTGCATCTGAGATATTTTAGAATAACGATAACGATGACTCCAAGAACGAAAACAACAACATCGACCTCTTAATATATCCAGTCTTCAATATATTTATCGTTACGACATGTAAAGAATGCCGAAAACTATGAGCCACAACTCAGCATATACCGACATTATACATGTACATGTATCTCCTATTTTACTGTACCCTCTTGAGTTGTACCAGATCTAACTCAGATTTCATGTCGATATTACACTGGGGATATTATACATAAACATGATAGGATACGTTACATTCTACCATACAATGCAGCATTGGTATCCTGAGTATTCTACATGGAAATTACGGTAATATTCTTAGGTCTATTTTCTGCGCAAAAGCCACAGAAGCTGGGCTGCTATCAAAATTCGAATTGGTAGTATTTTAGTGAAAGATCAGTCAATATTAGACATATTCAGTGATGAGATTTCTCGCTAAAGATTGTTTTTATGGGCAGAATGATCGAAGAGTCTCTTATTAGCAAACTCCAATTAAAGTATAACTTGGTGATTTATCATCAGAAATGATTGGGACGTACGTTGAAGGAATACTTACAAAATGATTAGATGTTTCTTTATCAAATAAAGATTACGTTTACAAATTTTAGTTATTACATGTTTTATTATTTTTGCCAAACACAATAAATTAATTTTTTTTACAGAGAAAAATCAACAATGAAATGGTATGCATAAACTTCTTACATTCAGTACCAATAAATCTTTTCACTTATTTTTATTTTCCTCCCTTGCTTAATAGAAATTTTCCTCCTTTTAAATGTATCTCAGATTTCGATTGATTGACAAATCCAGAATTCCATCTTTAACACGCAATAGTGGCCGGAATTAACGTTATGCTAGGTTTAAGGAAGCATAACGATAACGATAATGACTAATATTATATTTAATCAGACAATTTTGTAAAATTTCAATAAAATAAAAAATGAATCAAAAAAAATCTAAAAAATAATTTATATTTAGGAATTGCATCTACTCTTTTTGACATTTTTAGTTGAAGATTTATAAAACATCAATTGCTTCTTAACATATACCAAGATTGCATTGTATCCATCCTTTGCTGATTTCAAAAACGTACTATTTGAATGCTTTTTCTCATCTTTTTGTGTTCCGATTTCGTTGATAGCGCATCCCAGAAGGAGTTGAGCTGAAGAGTTGTTATAACTTGACAACATACATCTCCAAAGCTAGTACATGTACAGTCGCCACAGAAATTAACGCCCGATTTGGATGTGCAACATCAACATAAATTTAAATGTGGCGGTTTTCCCCTTTTTGTTATTGTTGACTGC